AGTTGTAATGTGGGCAGATTCTTGCTCTGTTTATACAGCACCATCACTACAAACACCAACCCATGCAAAAGCTCTCTGCTTCTGCTCCGGACTGAGGATGTCCAGATGTGAGAAGTATTTCAAGGCATGTGGATATTACCATTTTGGTGGTCTTCAGGTATCTTCTGGTAGCATTTAAAGTGTATCAATGGACTTACAAGGTCAACATTGCTTTCAGCTTCCTTACTCTAACCTGCTTCTTTTATGAACTTTAAAGTGCCATTAGAAAAAAGAACCCAAACCCCACAATGTATCTGGGCTAACTACAAAGCCACCTTTTAGTCTTTGATAGGACCTTCCCACTAGTATGTCTTCTAGAATACAGCTTAGTTTCTGAAAGTTTAGTCTTGGAAAAATTCTGGCTTCCTGAAGCTTACTCAGGCTAGGTGTTGCTTTCTTCAGTAAAAGCTCATATGTTTTTATCATGTGTTCAAACAAAATAATAAATAATCCAAAATAGTTTTAATGGAGAAGCTTTTAATGACCATAATACAAAGAAAACATTTCAAAATGTCCCTGACTAAACGGATTTCGATCACTACAACCGTTTCACACTATCAAAAACAATGAGGACACAAACTAAAAATAAACACAAACTCCCCCCAAATATGCGAGTAGGACACAAACTCAAACACCTGAATGCTATGTAATACCAGAATTAGGGTTACTCAGGGCATTTTTAGAAGACTTCCTGGTAATGCTGTGCGTGACGTGGTGACATGGGAACCCAATATTGATTACAGAAGGGGACAGCCATACTGGTAAATCACACTCAAAGGGGGCCCCCTTGAGAAGGGTGCTCAGGGCTAGTGAGCAATAAGCTGAAATTTCGTTATAAGAGTCCACGAGGGAGAGTTGTGTATGGCTAGAGACTGCAGAATGTAATGTCCTCTAGAGTGGAGGAAGAGACATGCTAATATTTGTATTATTTATTAAATGAAAAAGTCCCAAACCTAGGTTCAAATGTAATAAGGTCACCACATCTTAGGTTTATAACTTTTCCTTATTTCAGGCCACTCCTCTACCAACCTATTTAAGAGAGTGGAGATATTGATGTTTCCATTTCTCACACTTTAAGACTGGGTTTTTCCAAGGCTGTCCTTGTTCTCATCCCATCTTGCTCTTCTTTTGGAAGGTGGATGTTGAACAAAGTGGCTGAAATGAAAGACAGAAAGACACACACACACGCAAAAATGATTTGTTTGAAGATATTAAATCTAAATACTGTGTGCCCCCCTCACCTCTCAGAGGTGTTATGAAGGTGAATCAGGAAATGGATGGCTTTTTCAGGTCACAGGGATCAGTACCCCAGAATTCATCATTTTCACCAAACATCTGATCATCAGCTTCTAGGGACTTGAAATTAGGTGGTTCTTAAAATGTTAGATAAACATTAAGCAACTGCTTTGTCTGTCAGAGATTTTAATGAAAAGAAAGAGGCAATTAGTAAAATGAGCCAACAGATCATGTTTTTAAATGCAAGTTAGGCATTGAAATAAAGGTGCAAAATGCACCTTTATATCACAGAGTTGGGATGCAAACGTCACTTTAAGAATTCATAAAATAATACTGTTTTGTTTGCAAAGAGCCTTAAGCATACAAACACCCTGAGAAATACTGCTTTGTTCTCTCTTTTGATCACAAACAGTAAACAACAACAACAAAAAAAACCTGTCAGGAGACTACCTAGCTCTCAAAAGTTAAGTTGGAATCTCATCTCGCTCCTCCTAGTCCCTAGATGTTATATATGCCAGTCAGTGTAACCTTTAGCTGCTGCACGTAATGTGAGCCAATAATTTGACCAATAAAAAAAAAAAAAAAAAAAGTGAGTTTGGAAGTGAGTTTGCACCTATGACATTTATTTCCCTGTTATGTAAAGCAGATATTGCAATGGTTTCTTTTTCCCCTTAGTAGTCTGAACTTGTCTTCTGTCTGTTCCTGGGGTACATGCTAAGCAATCTTCCCTGTCTTTCTAACAATGTTAACGTCCCTGTCTGCAAAGGGACGATTTTAAGCATTTGGATCATCAGCTTTTAAATATCAGGGACTTCCGATTTTGTTAACTATAGCAGATTCGTGACGAGCCTGCCTTGGAAGGTGGATTTTCTCAATGTTGGTAAGAAAACTGAGTTGTATGTTCTGACCCAGCAGTCCAAACATTTTCCTATATAGGAAAGAAGGAAGCAACAATGATGGTGACCTGGTAAATAGTTCCTAGATTTTTTTTTTTTTTTTTTTTTAATGCAAAGGACTATAAGTTGCTCTGTCTCTCTGGGCCAAGTCATACAAACAAGGTGGATTCAAGAAATGTTGAGGGCTCATTTATATGTCCCATGCTCCTGCTGGTCTGCTCTGAAAAGTTTCTAGTTAGCAGGAAGGTTTCTCCTGAGGAGATGACGATGAGGTGGAAAAAAAAAAAAAAACAACAAACTGCGGGTTTTGAAATTTCTTGCATATGTCTCTGTTGAATTTAACAAAAGAAAACTAATGTTTTCATGGAGTGGAAAAAAAACAAAAACAAAATGCAACAGCAAACAAGCCTTTGAACCCTGTTGTTGTGAAGCAAGCCAGCCTTTCCCCTCAGAATGGAGGCATAGCTCAAGGCTTAGTTTTATTGAAGCTAAATCTTCTTCCTCCTTTTCTTTTTTGCTTTAACCTAACTTGAACTTTGGACTTTTACTACCCGAAGTTGTTTACTGACCTGATAAAAGGCAGGCATACTGCTCGAGGTGCTCGTCATGGGTAATGCAAAGCCAGGCCTTTCCTTAGCCCACGGCTTCACTACTTGGGGGGATGGAAACGCATCCTTCCCCCTTCCCTGCTTTATATCCTGGCACCACAGGCTCCTGGCTTCCCCCCAGGCTGGTGTGCACGGGTGTGCAGCCCTTGCTCCACCACCTCTCTGCTTTGGGGAATGTGATGAGAGAAAATCGGAGTGCAGGAGAGGAGGAGGAGGGTCCGTGCTGGAAGAAGAAAGTCTGACTTCTGCCAGCTCCTCCAGTTTAGCTCTTGCCTGTGCCTTACGTGGTGTCACATGTGGCTACTCTTAACAGACAGCTTCATGGATCTATTTAGCTCTTTTCCAGTGGGCTTCTCAAGGCAAAGTCTAATGAAAACTAATTAATCATTGACATCAGTGCTGCTCTTTTCGTGAGGCTGGTGGGGAAATCTGAAGCATGTGCCTTAAAAACTCTGGGGATTACACGCAGAAAGTGTGATTTCTGGGGATTTTTTTAAGGATTACTACGCATCAAAATTCAGTATCATTTAATAGCTATAAAAGCCTTTTTATCCTGGTTCTTATATGTGTACCTGTTCTTCAATGGACAAAGTTGAAGTCTGGCTGTTGACATTTTGATTTTTCTTTAACTGGGAGAGAGTTTTATGCATTCTAGGCCAACTTTTCCTTGTTAAAATAATGGCATGTAATTTAAGAAAAAAAAGTATATGTCAGTATATAGATATATATCAAAAAAAGAGAAAAAAATCTAAAGCCATTGTAATAGATGAAGATATATAGCCGATGTCCTCTGACATGTCTCAAAAACACTCCAAGGAAGTTAACAGACTGCATAGATTAATCATCCCACATCTGCAGTTACTTTGATGGCAATGCCAAGACCAGGCGGATTATTTTCTACACAACTATTTTCTCGAGATGGGGGAATTTCACAGGAGAGTGACAAAACCTGCGCTAAGTCTGAGTGATATGAAACTGCCTTGTTATAATTAGGGAAGCAGTCTTAGCTGGCAGAATTATATGACTGCAATGGAGTAAGAGTTTGGAGATCAATCAGTATTTCTCCCCTCTTCGCTCTCTCTCTCTCTTTTTTTTTTTTTTTTTTTGACTACCAAGCAGCCATTAAGAGCCCAAGAGTCCAAGAATTTTCATTTTTAATGTTAATTATGAACTTTCATCAGCATCCCTCCTCAAATTCATTGCTTTTACAACAGAGCCAAAGTTACCCACCTCTCCACGTCGGATGTTCCAAGCGGGTTTGGCTTTGTGGCATTTTGGCTTGCCAGGAGCTTTTGATTCTGGCTGTTTTAACTAAGTATATTTTATGTGATTGCTGTGTTATGGAGAAATTCCACACTTTTGCTTGCTTTTAAGAAACTCTCAGCACTTTCTTTCCTCTGCTTTCTTTCCTCTACCTTGCTACAGTGAACAAAGTCTGTCCGTGTTGCAGGCTGGGTTAGAAACAAGCAATAAAAGGAAGAAAAAAAAAAAAGGCAAAAAAAAAAAAAAAAGAAAAAAAAAGAAAGAAAGACAGAAAAAAGAGAAGGGGATGGACTGCACCGAGACAGAAGTATGAGCAGACACAACCTACCGCTTGGCCGCGGCCGGCCCGGGCGTGCACGTACCTGAGCGGGAGGGCAGGATGCTGCGCGGCGCTGCCACGTCTGCCGCCCGTGCGGGACCTTTGCCGCGAACGCTCCCCGCGCCTAAAAATAAACTTGGAGGGCGACACGTCGCGCTGGGAGGGAAGGAGGGCGGGAGGAGGAGGAGGAATCGCCGCAGGCTTTTACGTGGCCGCGAGGCTGCCAGCCCCCCCGCCCGCGCAGGGCTGCGCGCCGCGGCCCCGATCCCGCTGCCCGCCTTTCTCCTCCTCCCGTTATTCCTCCCGCGCAGAGTTGCGCGGACGCCTCACTCGCCGGGAGGAGCCTGGGGCTGCGGTAAGTTTTAAAAAAAAACAAAATAAAAAAATCCCCAAAGGCAGAAGCGCAGGCGAGCCCCCGGCGCGAGCACTTGGAGCCGCTGGCGCGGGTGCAAGTTCGCGGCGGGCCCGGAGGGGGGCAGCGCGGGGGCTGCGCGGCGGCGGGGGCTGCGCGGGGGCCTCCGCGCTGCGCTCCGCCCCCTGCGGCGGGGCGCGGGCTGCGGGCGCGGGGCGGCGCGGCTGCCGCGCCCCCAACTTGCCGGGAGCCCGCGGAGGTGGCGGCAGCAGCAACAGCAGACCAGGTGCTCCCATCTATCCCGCCAGCATCCGCAGGTACCCGCGCGGTGCCGCGCGCTGCTCCCGCGGGGGCAGCCGCTGCTCTCGGGCACGGCGCGCAGCTCCGCGGCGGGGCTGGGGGCTCGGGGATGGGGGCTCGGGACTCGGGACACGCCGCGCTGCAGCCTCCGCGTCTGCGCCCGGCGCCCCGCGCGGCTCCAGAAGTGGCGCGGAGAGACGTCCCAGGACCTCGGGGGTTCCCGGGGGATGCTGCGCAGCGCGCGGCTGCCGTGCGGAGTGCCCGCGTACTTTTATTGTCGCCGTGTTTGACTGCGTCACCTGCCCTGGCTTTGCTCGGCTGTGCACGGGGCTCCTGGCACCTTTGCGGGGAGCGGAGCTGGGGTTAGCGTTCTGTAAAAGCGCCGGAGGAGGCACCCCGGTCTGGGGTGTTAATCCTGATTTCCAGCAGGATTAGTCGCTGGATGAAGGGTAGCTATTACAGGTTCTCCCATAATCCAGATGCCCAATGATAATCTGTGTGCTTCTTGAGGGAGGAGGAGGAAGATGGACAGGACTGTCAGTGGCATACAGACCTCTAGCAAACTGTATTATTCAGGGGAAAGGTTTCTGCGTGTCTACAGAGCCATGTGTCACTGCAGACCCTAACTGTGTTTACAGGCTGAAATTGAGAGATTCCAACTCTGAAAAGCAGCCATAAATCCTAAAACTAAAGAAAAAAAAATCTTGTCAGAGTTATAGCAAGGGCATGCTCCAGGCACAGGCATAGCTTGCTTGAAAACTGTTTTCCGAGAACCGACTAAATGCTCCTGATTTTAATTTTTCTTCTATGCGAGAGTAGCCCAGTTAGAGCTCTGCAAAGCAGGATTTTCCCAATGGAAGTTGCACTCAAGCCTTAATTCTAGCAGTTCTGATGTCTTTGGGATGTTTAGTTCAAGACTCTCTTGAATTGCTGATGCGTTACATATGTTTTCCTGAAGATACATACTCCAAGAAAAGAGTATTCTCAGCTTGAAGTAAGATGTGGCCTAAAGTACACTCTGTTCAGCCCATGAAAGCTTTTGCTAGATGTCTGTAATGTGTGTTATTCTCCTCCCTCCCCTCCAGTAGGTAATGATAATCTAATTTCACCCCATTTGCTAATGGCTTTATCTTAGTTTAATGTTGCACAGCTGCGAGAGCCTTGCTGCGAGCCAAGCCTTTGCTCTGGAGGGTGGCAGCTCACTCTCCTGAGTGCAAGGGGTAGTTTTGAGCCAAGCGGTGTAAACACTTGCTTTTAAGTTGTGCTGGAACAGAGTTTTGTTTTGCTTGAGGAAGCTGAAGGCATTGCAGTGATTTCTCTTAATCTTGAGCCCGTGCAGTTTCCTTAAAACACATGTAGGTAGCAAGTGAGCTGGGGCGCTTTGTGCTCGCTCGAGAACTTTGCTTGCAGCGGGATTGCTGAGGCGGTTTCTGCTGCGCAGAGGGTGATGAGCATGCATTGCTGCTGCTTTTCAGGAGAAAAGGAGTTCTTTTCCTAGCTACCTAGCCAAGCCTGTGTGCTTTAACCCCTAGTGATGGGTGCTGTAGAAATACAGGATTACCGCTGAGCGGGGTTTATTGCCTCTTGGAGGATAACCTGTGTACCACAAGCCGTAAGCGGCAGCACGGGCACCCTGCCCGTTGGGAGTTTGCAGGAGGGAGCTCAGCAGACAGGTGAGTTCCTTGGGCACCGGGAGCAGACCCGTTTCAGCACCCTCACCTCCCACGGGTGGCACCGCCGAGTGCGGGCATGAGACGCGTGGGTGGAGGGTGGCTGATCGCCCGTGTGCGTGGCCCCGGGCACCCTTATTCAGCACGAAGGCTAAATGCTCACCTGATGCTCAGTGAGCATCGCGCGTTCGCCCACTCTGAGCAGCAGCGGCGTGTGATTCAGCTGGGGGTTTAATAGCTGGCTTCTAAAATGTTAGTATTGGCTTAGCATTTGGTAGATATAGGTTCTGAAGTTGTAGCTGCTGTGATAAATCACAGCACGATCGCTGCTGTAGTTAGGAGGAGGAAGTCCAATTTTCCGTAACTTCATTTTATGGAGCTGTGTAAGTGGAGTTCTTGTCAATCCCCAAATGGTTGTTTATCAGCCCATTTCTGTGTATTATCCTTTCTGCCCTCTTTTGCTTATGTTACGTTTCTTACTGAAAATAATTTTAAGTTGCAAACTGGGTCTTTTCTAATAACATTCTTCAACTGAAACAGAGTCCAAAAAATACAGCTTTTTAGCAAACATTATAAACATTTTTCAGGTTGACCCTTCTGAGGTGTGTATATATCTAGCTTTTTGTCAACTCTTGAGAACTGTAGGCTAGCTCTCCTTTCCAGCTTGCAGCACTGCAGATGTGACCAGCAGAAGACAGGTGGCAGCCTACTATCTATTTTTACAGAAACTTGGTGAATTTCACTCTTTGAATCTGCAGTTTAGTCATGATTTGCCATTAATTTTTTTTTTCCATAGAATGTTGTGTTGTTTATTTTTTAGCTTCAGCTTGTTTTGCAAATGTTTTCAGTTCCTTAAGAAATTTAGCAGATGGCATCTAAATGTAGCACATTTGCTTGTATTAATCGGGCAGGTAGCAAAGGTGACTGAAAGGCCAGTGTCCTCTGAGCTGCAGTATAACTAGTGTTTTGGTTTTTATAATTAGTGTCTTTTTTTTTTTTTTTTTTTTTTTACTAAAATTGTATATTCCAAAGTAGTTTAGGGGATTTACTAACATAGTTATTTATGACTTGTGCCTTTTAGGAGGTCCTGTGAAACAAGGTAGCTGCCTGCTCTATAAATCAGTTCTTTTTTCCTGTACTCATTATTATTGCATAAATATGTTAATAATGTAAAAATCTGTGATATTCTGGAGAGTCTAGGAGGTTGAGGGAAGAATTCTGCACTTGTATCACAGTGTATAAGAGAAAGTCAAGTAACTTTGAAGAACCTGTTGTTGAAAACTTTGCCAATATGTTGGCAAAACATTGGCATTGAAATCTTTGCCAATATGTTGTTGTACATTTAACTTAGCTCTTTAAGTGTCACACATCTAACTCGGCAGGAGTATAATGGGAATTGCTGCTATTTTCCTTGGAGGACGTTGAGTAGCTTTTGAGCATATTACAACCCAGGTGATGAAATTCAGCTGCTTTATTGGCTTCCTTCCTTCTCCAAGTAGCAAGTCTAGAGGGTCTATGTGCATGCTGTTGAAAGGCACTTTCAACTTAGAACTGGCCTCGTCTGCAATATTGGGGGCTCAGAACAAGTAGCTGCAAAACCTCTCTAGCCAGAGAGAGGAGGTGTTGTAAGAATTTTTGTGTTCAGCTCTTATAGCCTGGGGTAAGGTTGCTGCTGCATCATGGTTTCTAGTGCTGGTGAGCTGTCCAGACAGGTATGTGACAAATATTTGTGTTGTGGCTTAAAAAAAAAAAGGGTTCAGGTAGTAGTTCCATGCTCAGAAATTCCTGTGTTTTTCTCTTTTCTCCTCTGTACTCTTCCTGTTTTTCTTTCTTTTTTTTTTTTTTTTCCTTCTGTTGTAGATTNTTTTTTTTTTTTTTTTTCCTGGAGCACTTCAGTGACTTGATTTCAGTGGAAGCCCATGGAGAGCTGTGCTGGCAGCATGACCCAGGGATGTTGCTGGAATGGCTTTGGTGTGGGAAAAGGCCCCATGGGATGGAGTCCTTTGGGTTGAACTTGTCTGAAGAATTGTCTGAATTTTCAGGCAATTCTTGACCCCTGCATTTGCAGGGAGGTAGCTTGTGTACGTTGCCTTGCAAGTCTCAAAGCTTCGCAAAGTTATAGTCTTTCCACATTAAGTAAGAGTCAGAACTGTAGGCTTTGAAGAGAGCCTGGATTTTGGTCCCTAGTCAGTGGCCACTGTTTTCTGTAGCGGGCTTTGGGGCAAGTCTTCTCAAATATGCCAGCCAAACTCACATATTACTTGATCTGTTTTCTGCTCTGATATCCTTCTCTGTTATGTCATGTTCAGCTTTTTTATTTGGAACTCACAGTAGAATTATACAGTTATTTTATTAGATAATTTTATCAGAAACAGTGGGTGAAAAATTGAGGTTTTAATCTGGTGTCTCTTGTTCCCACACGCTGATTTCTTCTCTCGCTTTTGCAGCATAAGTAATGATTTCTAAAGTAGCTAGTATGAATGTTTAAGGGCAGGCTGAAGACAGTAAGTGCAGAAAATTGTTATTAGCATATGATGTCTTATTGCCTAGTGCTGCCAGTATGGGACTTGCATTGTAATGAGATAAGAAATGGGATTTCAGCTTTAAAAGTGGGAAAGAGTTTTCCGTTAGTGCTCTTCAAGGTATATCAGCCCTGTGGTGGGCTAGGAGATAGAATAGTCAGCCTCATGAATTACATGGAATGCTAAGCCTACCAAGACCACCTTATAGCTACATCAGCATTTCTTGTTTCCATTTGTACCATTGCACATCCACATCCTGCATCTCCCTTGTTACTTAGGTTTTTTATCTCCTGTCTTCTAATAAAGTGATATTTGTGTGGCCTCAGCGTCACTGTGGGTGAATGATGTGATGTGAGGAAGGAGAGGAGGAAGGAGACTGTGTCTAGTCTCCAGCTCTGAAGAGGCCCTTGAACAGTGATGACATGCAAGACTGATGGAAGAGCTCTGGCAGATTTTGCCTTGAAGGGTTGATGTATTTATGTAACCTTTTACTGTGTTGTTTCTTTCGTGAGTCTAAAGGCACCAGAAGTGGAGGCTGTGGTTGAGTTGCAGATATATGGCCATCCTCACCAGCAGTCCAGGCTTTTGGATTGAGGTATCTGAGATGCAATGGCTTGTTGCATTGCTCTTCAGAATGCTGGAACTGGAGAAATTCAAGATAATCATCTGTCTGAAATCTGGAGCTCAGGCCACCAGGTCAGTCCTTAGATACTCAGAATGTTGGAATTTAAAGTATAGAGCAGCAGCACTATTCTAGATACTTTGATTAGTCAAAAGCACCAGTTTCTACCTCCTCCACCTCTACCTGCTCCACCTCACACCTAG